TTTTTTTTTTTTTTTTTTTTTTTTTTTTTTTTTATTTATTTATTTTTTTTTGTTTTTTCCAGACAGGGTTTCTCTGTGTAGCTATGCTTTTTAAGTAGGGGGTTTCAGAATCCCTTCAAATTAACACCACATCATCAGACCTAAACTGTTTTCTTTGGTCTCCAGGTATTTGCTGGCATTCTCCTTACTTTTAACTTTTTCTCATTTTCCTTCTTCAGTTCGGGCATATTTCAAAGGATTCTTAAGATTTCCTAATCTTGTACAGGATTTTCCCTCTTGGTCTACAGTAGCTACCTATGGAAAATCAGCAGATCAAATGCATTTTCTTCTCTGTTGTTCCCCCTCACAATCATTCAATTTAAAAATGGATAGGAAGGGCCTGGAGAGATGGCTCAGTGGTTAAGAGCACTGACGGCAATTCCAAAGGACCCAGGTTCAATCCCTAGCACCCACATGGCAGCTCACAACTGTCTGTCATTCCAATATCTGACACTCTCACACAGGCAAAGTATCCATGTACATAAAATAAGAATAAATAAGTTATTTTAAAAAATGGCTAAGGAATCTGCTCGGACATTTGAAACTGAGTCAGTTGATTGGTTCTTTTACAGTTTAAATATGGAAACAAATACTTAATGAGCAATTGATTCAAAAGACTAGTAATTAGTCTTGAAAATGACTTGATTATGAATTGATTTACATATGTGAGTCTTGTATTTCCAGAATGTTAAGTTTACCAGTTGAATGACTGGTAATGAGCCAGCATGACTCTGGTAAAGACCTAGCATTACCCGTTTAAACATTTAAGCCCTGACTGAATCTATGTAGCATGTGAAACCAGGAGCTTGAGAAAATGAGATGTCTTTCTTTAGAGCCTGATGCCCTGGACAAAGCACCCTGGAGCTCATCATTGTAGGGATTTCTGAAAGAGTGGGCAGGTTGGTCCATCTCATTGTAAGTCAAGGTAGATCCGAAGGCTTAGTATTTTCTGTACTGAAATTCTGATACAAGAGTCTATGCATGAAAACAAAGTTTCAATTTGCAGTGATATTCCAGGATTGTTTTGTGTTGAGTCACAGCAGCTACAAACTGCTCTATTTAGAATAGCCTTTTAGCTCAACAAGTGTTTTTTAGAGTCTTCTAACTCCACAGTAAATGTCACTTGTGTGTTTTACCCAGAATCCCACTTACACTCCTGTAAGAGCAGTATGTTTTCATTTAAGATGATGGCTGTGGAGGAAGTCCAGGAGAGACATCCAGGAGACTTTCACGAGAACAGCTTTGTGTACTGGTGTCGGCAGCTTCCTTAAACTTGGGGTGCATGATGGCCTATTCCATCCTTGGACCGTTTTTCCCCAGGGAGGTAAAACATTTTTATATCTGTATGAACTAATTTTTAGAAAACCCTTCAGTTATATAATTTTAGAGAATATAAAATGTAAGATTATGGGGGTGGGCGAGGGCAGGGGCTGGGCAGTCAATAGTGTGTCCTTCTCTTCCAGATGATCTGAGTTAAGTTGCCAGCACCCACATCAAGAAGTGCAAAACTATCCAATTCTAGCTCCAGAGGACTCTAGTGCCTCTGGACTCTGTGGACATCAGTTCTCACATGTTGGACCCTAAAATCTAGGGTCTCACGTGGGCGCCCCAAGAACCCAGACTCGAGTCCAGTTGATGCAACAGCATGAGGTCTTTATTTAGCAACTGTACAGACGGGCAAACTCTGCTCCTAAGAGCAAGAGCCGCATCTTACTGCAGCCACATGGGCGTTTTTAAAGGAAAAACCCACAAAAGCCATAAGATTACAACTTCCATACAATTTTGTTTCACAAGATCATGGTCTGATCACAGAGTGGGTACAGTTATGTCAACAGGTACATTCTTTGGGAAACCTCAAGGGGGGTATCAGGGCAGGAGTGGAGTTTACACAAAGGTCACAGTGGTCCTTCCTGGAACACTTGCAACTATCCCAGTCACAGTTGAGCACAACTCTTAACAGAAATCTTTTTACACTGTTACATTGTGGCAGGGGTGGTTGATCAATGGCTGAGTCAGCTTGCCCTTGGAACTAGATTTTTAGTTTCTCATTTCCTGGGGCTTGGGGGGTGTAAAGCCTGAAGGGTTAGGGTCTTTCAGTAAATATCTCCATAAAGATACATATGCATACACACATAATTAAAAATTTCAAAATCGGCAAAATATAAAAATATGCCTAAAGTATAGATAATATTTGTGTATTTTGTATGGTGGTGTGTATTCTCTCTCTCTCTCTCTCTCTCTCTCTCTCTCTCTCTCTCTCTCTCTCTTTCTCTCTGTTTGTGTGTGTGTATTACCCCTTTTGTGCACAAAGGCCAGAGGTCAATGTCAGGCATCTTCATCAAGACATGGTCTCTTACTGTCCTTGGCATGTACCAGTTCAGCCAGACTGGCTAGCCAGCAAGACCCTGGGATCCCCTGCCTCCACCTGGCAGGGCTAGTATTACAGATGTGTGCCCACAAGCTCAGCTTTGTATGTGGGTGATGGGGATCCAGCTCTGGTCTTCCTGGTTAGACAATAGGCACATTACCTAAACTCATTTCCCTAGCCCTCCTCCCCCACGAAGAGAATATTTCTTAGTGTTTAATATCAGGAAAAAAAAAAAAAAAGAACATCCTCTTACCGGGTAATTCTCCCAAAATATACTTGACTTTCTAAGTATTATTTATTTTACCATGTAGTTTGATTAATTGTTTTTTGTTTTTGTTTTTCGAGACAGGGTTTCTCTGTGTAGCTTTGCGCCTTTCCTGGATCTTGCTCTGTAGACCAGGCTGGCCTAGAACTCACAAAGATCTGCCTACCTCTGCCTCCCAAGTGCTGAGATTAAAGGCATGCGCCACCACCACCCGGCAATTTGATTAATCTTTACTTAGCATCTATAGCTGAAAAACAAGATTCACCAAATGACCAAGATGTGAACAAAAGGCTATTACTCTGTCTTCTGGAATTGGGAATATATATATATATATATATATATATATATATATATATATATATATTAGAATTAAGTTATTTGTAACCAAGTGTGGTGGCTCATGCCTTTAATCCGAGTACTCAGAAGGCACAGGTAAGCAGCAGATTCTAGGAGTTTTGAGACCAGCCTGGTCTATAAGTGAGTTCCAGGCAGCCATGGTCATAAAGTGAGACTCTGTCTCCAAAGGTGGGGCAGTCCAGGATATTCAGTCCGAATTTATTATGCACTCCGGTAGTAATATTTACACAAAGGAAGGATTCTGATTACCGTTGCCAGGCTCCCTCTAAGCTTTACTGTTTTCATGGTGTTAGGAACTGTGGCTGGTGGTGCAGTTGTTCACCTGACAGATAGAGTCCATGCATATAATATGGATGGAAGGGAACTAGCTTAGGAAAGTTCAGACAATATGTCCAAATGTTCATTTTGTGCATCTTGCCAAAGTTTTAGGTTCACAGCGCACTGACAACTTCTCAGTTCTCAAACTGCCTCGACAACATGTAGTCCTTCATAGGGTATGCAACCAGAAAGGCTTTTCTGCTAAAAGAATGATGTGGCTCCGTACCCAAACAACACTCACTGGTCTCCAACACATGTTGCCACCCATTCATCCACTTGGTGCCTACAACAATCCTATAAGAGGAGAGAATAGTGAGGGTCCCATTGTGTTTCTTTAAATAGCAGTCTCAGATGTGAAGGGCTTTCCTAGTTAGTCCAATTTCACCGGAGGGTCAAGTTCCTCCTCTGGGTTCATGGAGTTGAACATCTGCCCAGGCAAAGAAAAGTCAGGAAGTGCCCCTGTATTTCTTGTTCATTCAAAACAAAAATATGAGAAAAGGATGAAGAGGAGGGGGAGAATTGATACAGGCTTTGGGTATCCTTTAAGGTAAAGATGGGCAAGAGTGATGATAGTGAAAAGGGAAGAATGCTTTACTATCATTGGGCAGAATCAAGCCAAGGCGAAAGGTGCGGTCCTGAGACTTTTTCAGGTTCAGGGAGGTGTGGTGTGAGAAATGGCAGCTTCTACAGTAAATGACAGAGAAATGATGATACTGAAGACGGAAGAATGCTTCACTATCCTTGGGCAGAATCAAGCCAAGTAGAAAGGTGCGGTCCTGAGACTTTTTCAGGTTAAGGGAGGTGTGGCGTGAGAAATGGCAGCTCCTATGGTAATAGAGAGATCGTTGCAGATGTGGTCAGGGAAGAGCAGAGTGAATGGAATATTCTTACAGAACAGGACACAGCTCACTGGGGCTTACACTTAGGGCACAGTGAGACCTTGGTAGAAGGCTGGGGCTCTGAGGGGCAAACTGCAGCTGGAATTCAAGAACTCTGGGATGTATACACAGGACTTGATTGCTGGGAGAGCATCAGAGTGGTTGGTCAGATTTGGGTTTTGTGAGAAAACAGTGATGGGAGCCTCTAGAGCAATGGTTCTCAACCTCCCTAATGCTATAACCCTTTGATGCAGTTCCTCATGTTGTGATGACCCCCCAACCATAAATTTATTTTTGTTGCTACTTCATAACTGTTATCATGAATCAGAATGTAAATGTCTGATGTGCAAGATATCTGGTGTGCCACTCCTGCCAAAGGGGTGGTGGCCCACAGGTTGAGAACCACTGCTCTAAGGTTATAGAAGGTATCTTAATTAGGGTTTCTATTGCTATGATGAAACACCATGACAAAAAAGCAAGTTGGGGAGGAAAGGGTTTGTTTGGCTTATACTTCCATATCACTGTTTATCATTGAAGGACATCAGGAGAGGAACTCAAACAGGACAGAAACCTGGAGGCAGGAGCTGATGCAGGGGCCGTGGAGGGGTGCTGCTTACTGGCTTGCTCCTCATGGCTTACTTGGCCAGCCTTCTTGTAGAACCTGTTGGGGTGGCCCCACTTACCATGGACTTGGCCCTGACCCATCAATCGCTAATTAAGAAAATGCCCTACAGGTCTTTCTGCCTATAACCTTATCTTACTGAGGCATTTTTCAAGTGAGGCTCCCTCTTCTCTTCAGTTGACTCTAGCTTGTGTTGAGTTGGTATAAAAATAGCCAGCACAGGAGGGAGAAACCAACAGAAATCCAGTTTCTCCTGCTGTTTATTCACAACACAGATTACCTCTGTGGCCTCAAAAGGCATAGTGATGTCTCCTTTTTCTCCAGCAAGCAAGTAACTCTTCAGCAGCAGACACGGTG